TTCTACTTCTTACATGTTGAACTCAAATACCTGTACTTTCTACTTCTTACATGTTGAACTCAAATACCTGTACTTTCTACTTCTTACATGTTGAACACAAATACCTGTACTTTCTACTTCTTACATGTTGAACCCAAATACCTGTACTTTCTACTTCTCTCATTTTCCAAACAGGCTGGTTCCTTTAGTCTGAATGTGTGTTTGGTGGCGTGATCATTATTATTTAGAGTCATTGCGTGCCTATTGATTTGAACACGATCCGTGTATCCATCATTTCCTGGTCTTCTCTAAAGAAGAGGGACCAATGAAAACGTTGTCATGTTGCCGTTGTTCAGCATGGAAACATTCATTAGCTAACAATGACATTATTGTTCTATTAATATAAAGGGAGGTCAGGTACTCTTTAAAACAGCTGCTAGTTATGGGTACTTTTTACTGAAGTACATTTCAAAGCCTCTTTACTTTGACTTGAGGAAAGAAGTTTAGTCAGTACTTCTACTTTCACCAGAGTATTTTTAAACACGAGTATCTGTACTTCTACTTGAGGAAAGGATGTGTGTACTTTTGCCCTCTCTGACCTGGTGCACTCTTCTTCTCTTGCTGCAGTATGGAGTGGGCAGCAGTGGGGGGGTCTGTGAGCCGATCACCATCCCCATGTGCCAGAACCTCTCCTACAACCAGACCATCAGCCCCAACCTGCTGGGACACACCAGTCAGAGGGAGGCGGTGGGGAAGATGTCCTTCTTCAACGCCATGACTCAGTCCATGTGCCCCGTGGACGTCCGCCTGTTCGTCTGCATGGTGTACGCCCCCAAGTGTTCAGGAGGGGAAGTGCAGCGGCCCTGCAGGTCCTTCTGTGAAAGAGCCAAGCGGGGCTGCGAGGGGGCGATGGCCAGCTTTGGGGTTTCCTGGCCAAACGACCTGCAGTGCAACGCTTTCCCCGATCAAATGTGTGTATCGGTAAGAAACGGACACGTTGTGGGTAGAAATATATTTAGACAGGTTTTGATTCGATTTGATTTATTTTGAACGTGTAAAACAATAATACAATAATAATAATAATGAAATGAAACATGAGAATTATGATACTGTACAAACTTAAGCGGTATCAAATTGACCAAAAAATAATATTATTGACTCACAAAAAATTATATATTAACAAATAATCTACCTAGTCCGAAAAGGAGTGGGAAGAAGTTTACACTTATTTAATCCCACCCCTTCTCCCAAAAACTAAATTATTAACACTTTGTTTTAACAAAATGTACATCTAAATGTTCGTCAATATACATTTACAATTATAAAAAGATGATATTATAGGGTTAAATGTGATGATGTAAATGAATGATCATTGGACTTCCCTTTGCTGTTCTGTTTTTACATGACATCCTTTCCTTTTGTTTCACAGGAAGACAGCAGGCCAGATGTGAGTATTTACCAAAATGAATGTGAAAATGCAAATGTTCATAGTTCTTACAGTAGAGGACTTAACTGAAGGGTTTACAGGTAGCTGAAGGAAAAGGTTAGCCGTGTTGGGAAGCAGGTGCAGGCCTTTGTCCTCATGCTGCACCAGTGACTCCTACTGTGTTGATTTGAGAGGAATAGCATATGCCCAGTCCAGAATGGAAGAAGAGGCGTGTGGTGCAGTGGGTTGTGCGTTGGTGTTCGGATCAGGGGGTCACAGGTTCAAACCCCACTGCAGTCAGCATGTCGTTTTGTCCCCGAGACACTTCACCCCAAATTGCTCCTGTGAGGATTGCCCACAGTATTGAGTATGTAAGTCACTTTGGATAAAAGCGTCTAACAAGTAACATGTAATGTAATGCGCTATAAATGCAGTTGCCAGGTCCACATTGGGTATATAGCGTACTCCGGCTGGTATTAAAAATCACCCAATAACCCAGCAATGTTAATGACAATATCTTCTCTGTNGCTGCACCAGTGACTCCTACTGTGTTGATTTGAGAGGAATAGCATGTGCCCAGTCCAGAATGGAAGAATAGGCGTGTGGTGCAGTGGGTTGTGCGTTGGTGTTCGGATCAGGGGGTCACAGGTTCAAACCCCACTGCAGTCAGCATGTCGTTGTGTCCCTGAGACACTTCACCCCAAATTGCTCCTGTGGGGATTGCCCACAGTATTGAGTATGTAAGTCACTTTGGATAAAAGCGCCTAATAAGTGACATGTAATGTAATGTAATAAAATACCACAGAAATCTGCTAATTGACTATTTGTACATCAGTTACTGTAACTGTGTTTCCTTAAATAAAACGTCAGAGTGATCGAAGAATAAAAAAACAGAGAAAAGTCGAATGATTTGAAGTTAATGCATTTAACAACAGCAAAACTTTATTAAAACATCTGTTTCAAATTTCACACAACTCTTAGCCTTTGGGGTAAAAAGTCCTCAAAATGTTTACATTAAACTTACTGTATTATATATATATAAAACGCATACCGTACATCACAACAATGTTCTCCTGATCTAGCATCTCTTTGTTATTATTAATTATTGGAGAAGTTTCTGTCTTTTTTTGTTGTGTTGTCAGTTCTTGGTTCATCTCTCTTGTCTCCGACAGACGCTGGATGCTGAAGGAATAAACGGACTATTGCCACGAACGGTGTAGCCCCCGGCGTTCAGCTTAGCGAGAACTCCTTCAGCATCCAGCGTCTGTCGGAGACAAGAGAGATGAACCAAGAACTGACAACACAACAAAAAAAGACAGAAACTTCTCCAATAATTAATAATAACANTCTTTTATACATAAATATGTGTCCCCGGTGTGTCCCCGGTGTGTCTCCGGTGTGTCCCCGGTGTGTCCCCGGTGTCAGGAGACTCACAAAGTGTCAGAAAACAAAACCCTCTCTCTTTTCCTCCGTACCCAAATCTCTGAAAACGGGGGAACAACGGAGCTGATCCAGATTTGCGTCCGATATGACGTAATATCTGAAATGTGGGCGGGCTTTACACCCACGGGCCAATCAGAAACGTTGCTATCAGAAACAATGCGCAACGTGTTTTGGACGTAATATGGTCTGTGTTTACATTAGCAAGAATCGCTAACACTCAGAGCTAACCTGTACTGGAGAGAGTTTGTGTGAAGAAGCAGGAAATAAAAAGGAACTTGTAGTAAACCTGAGAGAGAAAAAGTATTTGAGCTCCACACTGTTTCAGAAATAATCCTTGATATGGCGTTTAATCACGGCAGCATTTAGCTGAGTGTCTCTGTAGAATTCTGATCAGGCATTAGGTCCCACCCCCTCTTTGTTCAAGCTAAGGACCCAGAATCAGCGTTTCTATAACAGGCCTGGAATAGAGGGAGATGAGGGATGTCTAAAATGCATGATCTGTTTGGTATTTTGAGCAAAACACATCATATATTATATATTTTTATATATCTGAGACCCATAAGATATGCCTGAAAATAGCATGATAGGAGACCTTTAATGTGTCTAGAAGCTTGTAAGCTGATGATTCAATACGTGGTTATAAGAAAAGCAATCAGTGTGAAGACAGAACGTTTCACCATGGGCGGACAAAGCCCTTTTCATTTGGGTTTGAGGGACGGAGGGCGGGTTCCTGCTCTCGTAGCTCTCCACATATTCCCGCCTGACAAGGGCCGCATAGTGCTCCATCTTGAAGACCTCGACCACATTCAGGTCTCCAGACCGGTCTGCCTGAAAGCCCTCGGTTAAAGAACTTTAATTAGTCGAAGGAATGCACCTCAATATCCTTATAGAATAGATGGGAATCAACTTCAAGAGCATTATCATCTGGCCGGGGACAACAGCTGGAGATTAGCAATGTTGGCTAAAGCTGCCCCGTTTACTGTTTCTTGTCACGGTTGATCAATGGGGAAACTAGACTATAACGTTGTTGTCAGGTTGGTGCCAGTAGAAATGTTTGGCCGTTGCAAAGGATACGTCCATGAGGGTCAANGAGACGGGATCGAATACGACGAGTATGTGGCCATCATGACCAAACTCCTGATCCTCAGAGGTAATAGGAACCAAATTAAAATCTGCCCCACACTTAGTACTACCAGTGGTGGAGAGTGACACAGTGCTATTACATAATTCTATAGTACATAGTCTTTACTTTACTGTATTTCACCCAAGACATTTTTTTATTTCTATTTTATTATATATGTTGCATTGTTGGAGGAGCT